GCTGTAGATCTGTGGAATTCTCTTCCATGCTCGATAACTAGAGCGGATAGTATTGGTATTTTTAAATTAAAACTTTTTAAATATTTAATTGTCTTCGATAATTGAGTTTTATTGTTTTGTGTAGTTTCTTGTATTAATTTTATCTGATTCTGTACTTATATAATTTATATTAGAATTTATTTGCGTTAATTTGTATTCTACAGTATATGCTTGTGATAAAACAGATTCTATTGAATATTTTAAGTTTCTAGGAGGTTTAGAACTGAAATGTTCAGATATAGGTGTAATCTTTATATCATTATGCTCATTGTATTAAAGCTGCAGGTCTTGCGTCTTTGTTCTGTAACATGATTGCATTATAATCCTTATTAATGTGATTCTTTGGGTTTAAAATTTCTTTTCGTGATCTGTATAATTCTCTACTGTTTGTATTATATACCCTGTAAAAAAAAAGTATTGGGAGGTACGGGATTCCGTATTGCAAGTGCCAACCTGCCAATGCGGTATTCGCGAAATACCGCATTGGGTGTCGTGGTGAATACGGAAATCAAGGGGTCCCAATGCGGTGCCAGTTTTAAGCTTTAAAAAAAACGAAAATACGTGACAGGAGGAAATAATTAGTGTCAGTGCAGAAATATGCGAGTTAAAGGAATGAGAAAATAATAATAGTGAGTGTAAAAATGAAACTTTAAGAAAAAAAGGTAAGTTGAACTGTCAAATATGAGTCCAATGCGGCGTAGGCTGCTTTCAATGCGGTACACAATCGGTACATAGTGCAAGTCGCCAGTAGAGGGCAGAAGCAAGCAGAGCGAATCAAGCGAACACAGTGGCCCAGCTGACATATGATTTGCATTACATTACTTTCCAATTTTTTATTTTATAACCACGTTTCTGCATGAATCTAAACAATATTTTCGATTATTGTAATTTAGAAGATGCTTACCAATTGTACGTTGGCAGATTTAGTGAAAAGTGTCTGTGTACGGAGACAAATGTGTTAGAAAATGTTTGTTTACCTATTTCACGCCATTCAAACCAGTCAAAGTTGCTTTTGCTGTGGCGCATTGAAATCAGCCTATGCCGCATTGGGCCCATATTTGACAGTTCAACTTACCTTTTTTTCTTAAAATTTCATTTTTACACTCACTATTATTATTTTCTCATTCCTTTAACTCGCATATTTCTCCACTGACACTAATTATTTCCTCCTGTCACGTATTTTCGTTTTTTTAAAGCTTAAAACTGGCACCGCATTGGGACCCCTTGATTTCCGTATTCACCACGACACCCAATGCGGTAATTCGCGAATACCGCATTGGCAGGTTGGCACTTGCAATACGGAATCCCGTACCTCCCAATACTTTTTTTTTTACAGGGTACATATATATTGTATTTGTTGTAAATCAATTGTTGTTCGCATGGTTCTCCTGGGACAAAATGAAGAAATTCTAATTCTAAAAATAACCTGAAGCGCTCTTGGACATCTTTTACAGATATCGATTTTTTCACATAAAGTAACTTCGAAATTACTTCTCATGATATGATTTCTATTCTACACCTCATAAAGTATCGTTTAAGCAAAAACAAAAGAAAATCAATTTTTTTGGGTCAAAGGTGTCACTCCCCCTTAAAAGAACAAATTGTTAATTTATTACAATATTTTACAAATTATAACTTTTAGCACTATTAAGAAAATTTATAATTCCTTATTTCTTAAAAATATAATTTATGATAAAATAATAGATTCAATATGCAAGTTATTCCTGAAATAATTTAATAAGTTGCAAAATTGTTTCGGAATATTTGTAACTGTTAAGAGTATGTAAAATTATTCACTACAAATTAAAAATGAAATAGTTTTGAATCTTAGAATTTTGTAGAAAATCATCCCACACAGCACCGAAGATTTCCTGAAACTCGACAGGACCTCGTTCAGCGAGGTTAGAAACATTGAGTGGCGTTGTTCATAGAAGATTGTGTGGATATTCAAATGTCCATATAAACAGAATATTAAATATTCTGATCTTGGGAGAAAGCGAGTCTACACTTTTATGACATTGCCGGCACTGAGAAAACTGTTTGGTCCCGGCAACAAAATTTTGGTTGTACCAACAAAATCTTTTATTTAAAATATGTGCAACAAAACCGTTTGGTTGTGCAAACCAAATTCTTTTGTCGAACAAATCTACTTTTTCCAAAACAAATTTCAACACTAATATTTTGGTATAAAGATGTAAATTTATAAATAAAGACTATAATTATCATTAATTTAATTCAATAAAATATTGTTGATCTTACTGTTTCTGTTAAATTATGAAAAGAAAGAAAGAAACAACGCCAACTGTCAAAGTGTGTATGGCTTCACGAGCAGCCATATTTATTAGAACAGCGCGTGCGCAGCAGACCATTTAATCGCATTCTGTAGATTATTTAGTACGGACAACCAAATTTTAGTAATCTTAACAAAAAGTGCTCAACAAATCGATTTTGTTAACATTACAATATTATTTTTCTCAGTGTGGTTAGGTCCTAGGCAACCACATCTGGACTTCTAGGCAAGGTAAGGAACCTGTTTAACAAACATTGATTTTAACATTTTTGAAAATGTACATACTCTTTTCCTTTCCCCCCTTTTTGGCGTCTCTTGAGAAAAGGACGCATTCCATTGAATCATTATCGACTTTTATACCGAAAAGTCTTTTTCTAAGATTTTGTACGGAAAATTTGGTAGCGTCCCTTTCCATAAATCTTTATCGTTTTCATTTCTAAGAGCGATTAAAATTCAGATACTTCTTCTTCAGAATCTAATTCAAGAGTAATGATAAAAGAACTTTTTTCACCTTTGATAATAAACAATTTTTTTCACTCTGGAGAGTCAAACTGCGTCTGTAAGACCCCGGTAAGAAGCGTACAATAGAAAAGAATTCAATTTATAGAAAATATGCTTGAAAACGAGAATTTTGAATTATTCTGAATACGCGAATTTACCTCAGAGTTCTATTCCACGGGAACCATCAAAATTTTAGAAAAATCAATTCTTCTCTATTGCTCTCGTCGATCGGGAGATAGAAAAGAATTCAAGCTCCTCTAGTTATTGTCTTAAAATAAAACGTCGTGTGAATTTCATTGTAATTTCAGTGCTAAACAGCTAAACTATTAAAATTAAATGTTAAAACTAGTGAAAATATGGTTAAAAGACGCAAAGTGCTTACGATAAAATATAAAATGCTCTTATTGAAAGAAATATTCAAGTGTTAAATGTTTAAGTCAAGTTTTGAAACCTAACCTCACTTTCTAGTGGAATCTTGAGTGGCAGTGAGTTAATTCAGAGGAATAGAAATTTCTACTGATTTGCTGTACTTTCTCATTCTTTTGAATGCGCGTTTCGTATTTTTGTGAAGTCAATTCAATTCAATTCTTTTGAATTCTTTTTAATTTTTCGCTTCTTACCGGGACTAGAGTTGGTTTCACCCTTGCAGGCAACCTTGAGTGTAACCGATGCTTGCAAGGTTCTCTTACGAACCTTTCAGAGTGATATTCTCAATTCTGACAATATTCTTTATCAAAAACTTGCTTAATAAACGTTTATCTTACTGTACTAATTGTTCTCACTTGTCGCTTAAAACTTTTCAAACAAAATTGTTTTAATCAATATATAAATCAGTTAATAATCAATAAACTATTCTTTTTCTTGTGAAATGTGTGAGTTTGAATTTCCCGAATTGTTAAATGTACAATTGTTCTAAACAGTAACTTTTTTCATTTTTAGGCACTGTTTTAATACAAATTTGCTATGTTCTTTTACTGGAAAATACAACTGTTCTTTTAGTGGTCAATGTTCTTTCACTGGTTAAATAGACGTTGTTCAATATTTAATTAAATTTCTAAATATTGTGGTATATTCATAAAATTTGCATCATAGGCTACTAAATTCTATAGGAATTTTGCTATTCAATACATATTATATATAAACCAAAATTCAAGAATGGCAATGAAAAGTAAAAAATATCGAGAGTGTAAATTTCCTTATAAATGTTCTTTAATTTGTGCCACACCCTATAATATGAATTCATCGCATTAACATTACCACCCAACAGAAAAAATTACCATAAATGCTAGCATAAATACGAACCCATAGTAGGGAAGTGTAATTGAAACAGTAAATGGATCTCTAGTCCAATTAATACAAAAATTTGCTTTTAAATATTATTTTTCATTTAATAAAAAGTTTGATATTTTTTGAGAAAAAAAGACAATCAAATACAAATTAATATTGAAAAAAATGAATAAATTTATATTTTTCTATGTCAACATTCATTTTTTTCAATGGCAATTTGTATTCGATTGTCTTTTTTTCTCGAAAATTGTCAAAAAAAATGAAAGTTTGAATAGAAAAATATAAATTTATTCATTTTTTTCAATATTAATTTGTATTTGATTGTCTTTTTTTCTCAAAAAATATCAAACTTTTTATTAAATGAAAAATAATATTTAAAAGCAAATTTTTGTATTAATTGGATTAAAGATCCATGCCTCAATAAATAAAATATTATTTTTCTTATATTTTGTCAAAATTTATTAAATATTTTTTTAGAAAACCGGTGGGAATATTAATACATGTATTAATTGAAGTTGGCTGATTCCACATACCCTTAAACTCAATATTTTAGAAGTAAACAATGATAAAAACAAAATCTGCAAATAGTTTTTTAGAAAACTTGTTTTTTAAAGAGTTATTAACAATTTAATTTTTTAAAACCTTTTTAAACAAAAATAAATTACTTGAAAACTAATCCACAGAATTCGATAAAAATTGGACAACTTCTTTGAAAAATCTTACTTTTTAAAACTCTAATTCTACTTTTAAATTATCATGCAATTTGTTTAAATGATAAAAAATGGTTATAAACAAATAAAAATTCAAGCCTGTTCTTAATGAGATAATTAAATTTTTTTAATGCTTGAAATGCGGTCATATTTCCGCCATTATAAAAATCTGACATAAGATTTGTTATCATCGATCTCAAAAACACCCAGATTCCAAATTTTATAAGAAGATAATAATTTTCAAAAGACATCTTGTCACCTTTCATTTAAGGTTGGTCGCCTCACCCTTAATAAACTGATTACCGTACATTTTCCCGATTCTAATTCCCCAAAAGACGCCCTCCCAAATTACAATTTTCGCGAATACATTTTTCACGAATCTAATTTTCCGAATACCATTTTTCCGAATAAGTAATGTGCCAAATTTTTTTTTCCCGAGAAAGAAGAGAGATTTGTTTCCATAGCAACGAAGCAATATTTTAAACTGGGTAAACTGTCATAGTAGCGAGGCATTTATTTTTTTAATTATGTTAGTTTTTTAAATGTTATTTTTTTATATTTTTATAAAATTATTGTTAATGGAGACCGATAAAGCTTGTAATTTGGGTACAAAATTAGTTTCAGGTGGATATGTTCAACGTTCTAAACGTAAAGATGGTAAAGCTTATTAAGAGTGTCTTAATGTGCGCAATATGACGAATACAAAAACAATGACGACATTTTAAATTATTTGCAGGCCTTATCTTATTACATAGCATTGTAAAATTTATATATTCATTTTTATAGTATTTTATTTTTGTGTTGTTTATTTTTATAGCTTTGTACTGTATGTCATATTTTCTAATAAATGTTTTCCACTTATTTTTAATGAAATTTTTTTTCGAGAACATAGACAGTCGGGAAAAATGTATTCGGAAATTTTGTAATTTGGGAGAGCGTCTTTCGGAAAATTAGATTCGGGAAAATGACCGGGAACGAAAATGACGACGGGAATATACGACTCGATTGGGTAAAGCGGATAGACATGGTTACTTATTTTGTCCTACTTCCCAAAAATGTTTAATTTTTTTGGGTTTGAAGAAAGTTTAACTTTGTGAAACGGATATAATATCAGCAAGATTTACAAAGTTACTCACCGATAGATTATACACACAAGGAGTTAACACGAATTTTGATAATTCCTTTGCCAGATATCCAATAGTTTTTGGAATTTGTGTATCCCAAACTGGTTCGTTATCATTAATATCAGTTATAATTGCAATAATATGCATCTGAGAATAATTAAATAATATATTTCCTATAGCGACATTATATTCCGTGGCACGTTTAACTTGTTTATCATTTAGATGATTCGATGGACAGATAACTTCAATCTCTAATCTTACTTGAGCACTGGAGTAGTTTAAAAAATCAGTTGATTCACGGTCAATAGCATTCGAATATAAACTATTTTTGACAAGGTAAAACCAACCTGCAAAAAATTTTTAAAAAATATTAGTTAAACTATTTATTTTATACACTGCAAGCCCGATCAGCGGTCACCCGATCAGTGGTCACTTGTTTACGTCGTTTGTAGATGGGGCGGGCGAGGGGCCATAAGGGAGTCGAAAAGTTGTGGCAGTAGCGTATACATTAAAGACGCTCTGGTCCCTTAAAAAAAATTCAGTAGTCAAGTAATGGTAACCCATCATAAATCAGTTCGTACGGTCCTATATGTTTACGCCCGATCAGCGGTCGAGCACCCCCGGAGCTGACCGCTGATCGGGCTTGCAGTGTATTATGATTCAATTAGCTGTAAAACCTAGGGTGCTTTAGGGCCGCATTTTATTTCAAATTTTAATTTACTATATATAATCGTGTCATTTTATTGCAATGTTACTGAAATATTACAGTTCCCGATTAATTTAAACGTGTAATAGGGAAATCCATTTATTTTATTGGAAACTTCTCATAAAAAATTTTTCCATTTTTCCCAAATCTACTTTCAAACTTTAAGGGGATAGGCCACCCTACTGGAAAATCCTATATAGGTACCTACAAGGAATCCTCTAAGGATCCCATGTAAATTATTATAGGATTCTTTATAGGAACATATGTAAGTACATATCAAGAAATGTCCTGTAGGAAAAACATACTTTTTCCTGTAGGGTTCTTTATAGATTCCTATAAGTCTCCTATGGGAATATAATAGGATGACCTATAGTTTTCTATATAGGATCTTATGTGGATCCCTATAAGAATGACCTACAAGAATTCATATACTGTCTTATAGGATCCTATAGAGGTCAGACAATATTTTTTTTAAATTTATAGAATTTATTCTAAACAATTTATTGTAAATTAGAATTATATAGAAATCTTAACATTTCAGAGAAAACTTTGAAAATAAATTTGGTGGGACAGGGATTCGAATCTGAAATCGACGAACGCACGAGACTTACTAAGCAACTATCTGACCAATTACGCTAAACGAGCTATTAATGTCAGCCAAAAAAATCTTCTTCTTAAGGTGCAATAGATTTAAAAACTAGTATTTATTTATTTTATTTATTTATACACTCGGCTTTTGCCTTAATCTAGCGTTACAAGTGTCCCCGTGGAATTTTTCTTACAAATAATACTTATATACTAAATTTTGCGTCTACAGAACGGCTTGAAATTAGGAGTACTCGCATTTGCCTGGACCACCCGTCTAATGGGGTTTCTCGCCAGTGGAAAGGGAAACTGTAGAATACCTCTCCGAGTACAACCGGTTTATCGACAGTCGAATTCTAATGGTGTGTACCGGACAATAATCGACGGTGCACATCATGATACTTCGACGTCAAACCTCCCGCTCAGATAATCTCACGTGCCGGAAAAATCCAAGGCTAATGGGCGCGAACCAAGTACCCTTGGTCCTAAGCGTCTGCCGAGCCAGGCATTTATCCGACCGAGCTAATCTGTCGGTTTTTAAAAACTAGTACATTAAAAGGAAGATTTTTTTTGGCTGACATTAATAGCTCGTTTAGCGTAGTTGGATAGGTACATGCTTAGTAAGTCTCGTGCGTTCGTCGAACTCAGATTCGAATCCCCTTCCCACCAAATTTATTTTCAAAATTTTCTCTGAAATGTTAGGATTTCTATATAATTCTAAGTTACAATAAATTGTTTAGAATAAATTATATTTAAAAAAAAATTATTGTCTGACCTACATAAGATAGTATATGAATTTTTGTAGGTTATTCTTATAGGGATCCACATAAGATCCTATATAGAAAACTATAGGTCATCCTATTACATTCCCTTGGGAGAACTTATAGGAATCTATAAAGAACCTTATAGGAAAAAGTATGTTTTTCCCACAGGAAATTTCTTGATAGGAACTTACATATGTTCCTATACAGAATCCTATAATAATTTACATGAGATCCTTATAGGATTCCTTGTAGGTACACTACCGTCGGGAATTATCAGTACGGCTGCACGCGCAGGGCCCGAAAACATACCAATCTTTAAATCACGATTTTTTTGGAAATACAAATGTCAGAAAATTAATTAATATACCATTCGAAAGATAATTAAATTCAACGATTAATTATATATAACTAAAAATTTTTATAATTTATACAAAGATTGCAGCAATCAACAAAATTGACAAAAAAAATGAAATTTTTTTAAAAATTATTTCAACCCTTGCATATTCTTTAAAAAGTGTAGGAAAAATTTAAAACTTATATAGGTGTGATGATTTAAGCCTCATCTTTAATTTAAGACCAAAAGAGTTAAAAAATCTCATTCGGTTTGTGAGATATCTTTCTAAACGTCCAAGCATGTTTTTTGACAAATGCATTGGATTAGTCGATTTTTAACGGTTTTTGGCTGAAAATGCTCGGCCGATTATAATGATATCTCACAAACCAAATAAGATTTTTTAACTCGTTTGGTCTTAAATTAAAGATGAGACTTGAATGATTACACCTGTGTAAGTTTCAAATTTTTCCTACAATTTTTAAAAAATATGCAAGGGTTGAAATAATTTTAAAAAAAAATTTATTTTAAAAACTTTTTTGTCAACTTTGTCGATTGCTACAATCTTTGTATAAATTATAAAAATTTTCAGTTATGTACCATTAATAGTAGAATTTAATAACCTTTCAATTGGTATATTTATTAATTTTCTGACATTTGTATTTACAAAGAAATCGTGATTTAAAGATTGGTATGTTTTCGGGCCCTGCGCGTGCAGCCGTATATAGGATTTTCCAGTAGGGCGCCATGCGCGTATAAGAGAAAGGTCAAATTTAAGAATTTTTTTTAAAGAATATATTAAAAGCAATTAAATTTTCGTACAGTGAAACCTCGATTATCCAAACTAACCTAGGCAAGGCTAGGTTCGGATAATCGAAAGTTCGGATAATAGAGATTTAAATTTTTTTCATAATTAGAAGTAAAAAAAAAGGATAGGTGGACTATATATATTTAATTTAATACTTTTTTTTAAATATGCATAAGTATATATACGTAAATATATATTAATTAATAATAATATACCAATAAAACAGAGAATTCAGAATTTTTTAAATATTTTTTGGCATAAATTTTGCTATTTTGGTTTGAAAGATTCGGAAGGCCAAAAAAAAGTTCGGATAAAATGATTTTCGGTTCGGATAATAGAGGGTTTGGATAACAGAGGTTCGGATAATCGAGGTTCCACTGTATTTAGTACTTTATTATACAATATATTCCGGAAAATTAAAGATTTTCCTGAATTTCCCGCTCCCTAGACACCCTGTAAATGTTAGGGTAAAGTAATAATGAAGTGATACAGGATGAAGTTGAAGTAGAGTGATATGGTGAGAATAGATATAGTGATATAGTGTAAGTGAAAGGGAGAGTAAAGTTAATGTTTGAATGAAGTGAAAGTTAGGGTGAAATGAGAGTAAGGGTGAGTGTGAGAATAAGAGTGAAAGTTTAAGTGAACTGAAAGTGTAATTAAGAATGAGAGCCCAAGCAGCACGTAAGCTTATCTTGACATCACTATAATATTACATTGGAGATTCGTCATATTACACTGTAATATTGCAGTGATCTTACTGGGATATCAAAATGTCCGCCTGAAGGTAATATTACGTTGTTATATTAAGAGAGTATACCGATGGTATATTACGGTGGTGAGACTCCGCGGCTTGCGATCATCGAGGTTAAGCGACATCCAGTGCGGTTAGTACTTGGATGGGTGACCGCGCTTCGACTCTTGCTATAGCCCGGTGTTTTCTCACTACTTTCGTAATATATCAAGCGGGAGGTTTGACGTCGAGGTATAATGATGTGCACTGTCGATTATTGTCCAGTGCACACCGTTAGAACTCGGCAGTCGATAAACCTGTTGTACTCAGGAGAGGTTTTCTACAGTTTCCCTCTTTTCTGGCGAGAAAACCCATTGACGGGTGGTCCAGGCGAAATGCGAGTACTCCTAATAAAGTCGGCTGTAGACGCAAATTAGGTTAATATATATAGAAAATTTCATATGTAGAATGGTTATGCTTAATCCAAAAAGTATTTCTCGGGGACTCTTGTCGAAGTGCGTAAGGCCAATAGGGCAGGAGTATGAACAATAAAAAAAATATTAAGAGAATATTACCTGGTAATATTAAGGTAATATTACTTGGTAATATTAAGGTAATATTACACTGTAATATTAACGTAATGTTAAGGTAATATTCAAATAAAATTAGAATAATTTTATAATTTAGAAAAAAACATTTTACAAATCTGGACTCGAACCCTGAACCATGTGCATAGTAATCATGAGTCTTACAACTGAGCCAAACTTACTTGTAGTGTATTAAGATTCTCGGCGGTATATAATCTTTGTAAGTTTTTTTAAAGTTCTTTATATTTCATCAAAAATCTTAATACAATATAAGTAAGTTTGGCTCAGTGATAAGACTCATGATTACTATGCACATGGTTCAGGGTTCGAGTCCAGCTTTGTAAAATGTTTTTTTCTAAATTATAAAATTATTCTAATTTTATTTGAATATTACCTTAACATTACGTTAATATTACAGTGTAATATTACCTTAATATTCCTATTTAATATGACCTTAATATTACCATGTGAAGGCTAACCGGCATGATAAAAATCAAGAACTCGGATTATCTTCGAATTAGTGTATTTATTAAAATTGAAATTACATTTAAGAAAATGTTTACTCTCAGACCTCTGGAGAGTGACTAACTATAAAAAGTTGGTGGGTCCAGAGAGAACGCTCGCAACTCTCCCCCACTCTAGCACTTGATATCAGCGCCACGAATGTATCGCGAACTAATTTAAATTGCAAATAATAATGTTAAATGATTAATCGCCTTCAGTTCGGCCATCCTGATAATCAGATCGTCCCGATCGATCGTTGTTGGAAATGTCATCGACTGTTTTATTTCGATTTTCCCACAATTTCATTCTTTCCGTGCTGAAAACTCCCGAAA